ATTATTAATGCCAAAAAAAAAAATTTACCCGGACTTCGAATTATACAATTTAAAAAACACAAAAACATTTTTTAAAAAAAAAAAAAACAAACGCTGAAGGTGTGTTACATTCTAAAAATAATTTTTTCTTATTATTATTTAAATTAGAATTTTCTTTAAATAAATTACACGTTAAATTTAAATATATATATCTAGTCAAAAAAATACAATAATTTACTTAAAAAAAACTTTTTTTTTTTATTTAAAAAACATTTAAAATTAAAAACAACACAAATCCTTATTTGCTAAAAACATTTGTTACCTGATAAATAAATAAATAAGATCAATGAGCTTTAATATTTTATGTTATTCGAGTTTAAATAATTTAAACGATGTAAAAAGTATTAAGATGTAAACATATGGGAAATTAGGAAAATGGTTTAAGGTTTAATAGGTTTTTCGATAATGTTGTGTGACATGCAAGAAGGAAGAGAAGATAATTGTTTTGTAGTGTAATTAATAAAAATATATATATATTTTTTTAATACCAAATTTATTATTTAATAACCCTTTTTTATTTACATATAAGAGATGAATTTTGAACGAATTATAAAATTACTTTTATTCTGTCAGAGTGCGTTGAATCAGATTTATTTTACCTTTTGTATTTTTAAAGTAGTATATCAGTTTTTAATTAACTTTTTTTTCTTTTTTTTTTTTTTTGTTAACCCAGGAGAAATGCACTAACTTCCCCACACGATAGCAGGGAGAGTGGATGGCCTCCACCGTCGCGTGAAGTCCCGTCTTGGCACATTCGCGAACCTCCGCCCACCCGCGACCGATCGCGAGGAGCAAGATGTCATCTGCGTAACAAGTCAACGATACGCCTTCGGGAAGAACGATCCGGGTGAGGACGCGGTCGTAGGCGATGTTCCACAGGAGTGGTCCTAGAACCGATCCCTGAGGCACGCCGCAGAAGACGTCCGCCTTCCCGTCGTTCCGTCCGGTTTCTCGTGCGCGATCGTCCTCTCCGAGAGGAAGGAACCGATGATCGATGCCAAGTAGTTTAGAACAAATTTCGACGTCAGTCCGTCTCTTATCGCGGACCACGGTACCGAATTGAACGCGTTTTTGATGTCGACCGAGACGGCGATCGCGACGCTGCCCCGGCGAAGAGTGTCCCGGATTCCGGCGCACATGCGGTCGAGTGCGTCGGTCGTCGAACGGCCCACCCGAAAGCCGTACTGATTCGGAGAGAGGTCGTTCCTCCCTCCCCCTGATCGTAACTGTTCGTCTATCCAGAACGCCCTCGAACAACTTGCCCTCTACGTCGAGAAGTCAAAAAGACAAATCGGTCGATACGCGCTCGCGTCGTCGGATCCCTACCCGGTTTGTCTAGCAGAACTAGGTTCGCTTCTTTCCACGGTGTCGGAAACGTCGTCTCTCGGAAGCACGCGGTGTAGAGCGCCGAGAACGCGGTAATGCACGCCGTTCGGGCCCAGAACAAAGCATCTCTTCGAGGCCGCGTCGAGGAGAAGTCACTGCGGCGTCGCGATTTTCGTCGTAAGGGAAATCTGGCGGGGGAAACGCGAACGGTTCGACACGAGGGAAGTGCTCTGCGATCACTTCTGCGAGACACTCCTCCGTCATGCCAGTCGTCAGCGGTCCCGACGAATCCCTCAGTTTGTTAGTCATGAGACGGAATGAAAAACCCCACGGATCCAAATCCATTTTTCTCAAGAGTTCCTTCCAGCACGCCTCCTTGGAACTCCATATCACTCGGCGGATCCGAACCACCGAAGCCCTCCACTCCACATTTTAAACGCGCGAGTTCGTCGTCGTTCACGATATCCTCGTAACGTTCTCTCCATTTGATCTTAAGTCTTTTTTTGCCGACGAACCGGCGACGTGCGAGGCAGGACTTCTTCCACAATTCTCCTATCTCGTCCGTTCACCAGTACTTCGGCCGTTTATGCGTCTTCGCACGCGAACCGACCCTCTGCGTGCAGGAGTCCGAGATCCGTTGTAAGTAGTCCCAGTCTCCGACGGATCTCGGACTCCCCACGCCATATCGTGCACCTTTCTTGTTGCGCCTAGAGCAACTTTGTCTCTCCAGGCCTCCGCGGCGAGACACTCGGCGAGCCGTTCGTCTTCGAACGATTTTAGGCTCTACCGGGGAGGGACGATGCGAGGCCCGTCGGACGTGCCCCTCCTCTGAGCTCCGAGGAGCCCCGAATGAGAACGCCACGTAGGCGTGATCGCTCAGGGACTCGAAGTTGAAGAGGACCTCCCAGCCGGAGACCCGCGCCGCCGCCGCGGCGGACGCAATTGTGAGATCGATCGTGGACGATGAACTGGCGCTCGTCCAATTACTGTCTGAGCAATCGGCCGCGCGCTTTGTTCGAGTGACCCGTCCAGGACGTGTGTTTCGGACGAATGTTCCCGTCACCGAACCTATCCAGCTCCCTCGCTATCGTCCGCAACAGATCTTCGAAAGCTAGCAACGGACGATTTGGTGACGCGTATACCGAATCCAGAACCGAGTTTTGTTTTTTTTTTTTTTTGAAAATCCAGGAGAAATCCGGTTACGCACTAACCCCTCCTTTTTTTACGGAGGGAGTGTGGGGCTCGGTATGGATTTAAAGATAACTGTACCGGGAACCCATACCCATTAAAACTCCTGGGCATGTCGCAATAGCGTGGCTTATGCGAAGAGGCGGGGAGACGCTCGTGAGAGTAGAACCTAGATTTCAGTCTCCCCTCTCCGGTAAGCCAGAACGTTACCGTTCCAGCCGTACGATTCTCTTTTTTTTTCGGAGCATAAAACTCCGGACTTTTCGCGCTCGCGTTTGTGATCCTCTTCGAGAATCGCAAATCGCGAAATCGCGGACCACTCCCGGGGTCCACGAAGCAACGCGTCCACTAGGCCGCGAATCGACAGGTCGGGTCTGATGACTCCGACAAGCTACTGCCTGTGTTCTTCCCACGTGGGACCTTCCGCGACCGTGTGCCCGACGTCGTCCTCGGGCGCACCGCAGAACCAACACTCCGTCGTCTCCTCTCTGCCGATGCGAGCCAAGTACGAGCCGAACACTCCGTGACCCGTGAGAATCTGAGTGAAACGATAGGTCAAGTTTCCGTGACCCCGCCCCACCCAGTCCCCCACTCGGAGGCACAGGGCGAAGACGATTTCGCCCCCGTACCGTTTCCTCCCGTCGTCGAAAAGCACCTGCCACTTTCGGACCGTGCGATCGCGAAGTTCCCTGCGGAATCGGGCTCTCCTCGGCCCGCCGCGACCGCGATAGAGGACGATAGAGGACGAGTCTCTCCATCGCCAGGAGATCGAGCGGAGGAGCGTCCGATAGAAGGCAAGCACCCCCGCCGCGACGTCCCTGTACGCCGTCGACATCTTGTTCAGAGACGCCCTTTGATAGATGGTCCTCTCGCGAAGCGGCCACCGATTCGGCCCACACCGGTGCTCCGTACAGTGCCACGGAGTGAACGACTGTCGCGTACAATCGCCTGACCCTCGCTCCTGGACCCCGCAGGTTCGGCATCAGGCGCCCTAATGATGCGCTCGCTGCTCGGATCTTCGGTCCGAGGAGCGCGAGATGCTGCTCAAAAGTGATACCCGAGTCGAATGTGACCCCCAGGTACCTTAGCGTCGTCCCCAACCCGATCCTGAACCCCCCAGTCGACAGTGTCAGTCCGTTAAAAAGCCGATTCTTCGGACGATGGAATCCGCAAGCTTCCGTTTTCGGCAGAGACACCCGGAGTTCGATGCCGCGGATTACAGCCATCGTCGCGTGAAGTCCCATTTCGGTGCGACTGTGCATCCTAGCTGGGATAGTCGGGAACGAACTTCGAAACCAGTCCGTCCCTTATCGCGGACCATGGAGCGGAATTGAAGGCGTTTTTCACGTCGATGGAAACCGCGATCACGACTCTGCTCCGGCGCAGAGTTTCCTTGATCTCGTCTCGGACACGAACAAGCGCGTCGATTGTGGAACGGCCCGCCCGGTGCCATATTGATTCGAAGAGAGGTCGTTCCTCTCTTTGTCCGCCCCCATGTGACCGACTATCCGCGACGCCACGGCATGGCGCGTGGCGCGCTCGAACAACTTACCGTCCACGTCGAGAAGGCAAATCGGCCGATACGCCCTCGGCGTCGACGGATCCCTACTCGGTTTTTCGAGCAGCACGATGTTCGCTCGCCTCCACTGCTTCGGAAACGACGCCTCTTCGAAACACGTGGTGCAGAGCGACGAAAGACGCGAACACATCCCTCCGGCAGACTTGCCGAGGATCCGATAATGCACGCCGTTCGAGCCCGGAGCCGAGCGCTTCTTGGAGGCTGCGTCGAGGAGGACGCGAATCTCCCCTCGGTGACTCGTTCGCGATCGAAGGCGAAGCCCGCCGGAGGAAACGCGTAGGGCGCGATGCGAGGGAAGAGCTCCGCAATCACTTCGGCGAAAAACTCCCCCGTCATTCCGGCCGTCAGCGGCCCCGACGAATTTCGCAGCTTCTTCGTCAGGATTCGGAACGAAAAACCCCACGGATTCGAATCCACTTCACTCAGGAGCTCCTTCCAGCTCTCCTCTTTTGAACTGCTTATCGCTCGGCGAACCCAAACCCCACCACGCCCACCACTCCGCTTTAAGCCCCAGCAAAACTGCGTCGATCACGATTTCTTCGTAATCTTCTCCGCGGCGGAGGAGTTCCCGTTTCGTATCTTAGAACCGACGACGGGCGAGACAGGACTCCTTCCACAACTCTTCTATCTCGTCTGTCCACCAATATTTCGGCCGCTTGCGCTCGTTCGATCGCGAGCCGACCCTCCTCATGCACGAATCCGAGATGCGACGTAAATCGTCCCGGATCCTCCGCGCCATCTCGACGGCCTTTTCTTTCTCGGATCAAAATTGGCTCTTCGCCACGAATCCGCAGCGAGGCACTCGGCGAGCCGTTCTTCGTCGAACGATTTCAGGCTCCACCGGGGTGGGACGATGCGAGGCCCGTCGGACGAGGAGACAATCCTCCCGAACTCCGAGGAGCCCCGAACGAGAACGCCAGGTAGACGTGATCGCTCAGGGACTCGAAATCGGAAAGGACCGCCCAGCCGGAAACCCACGCCGAGGCCGCGACGAAAGAAACCGTGAGATTGATCGCGGACTCGCCGGTGGCCCGCACGCAAGTTTCACTCCCCTCTTGTTACGCACGGCGAAATGACGCGAGTCGAACCACTCCTTGAAGAGTCGACTGCGCACGTTGTTCGCGTATCTTAACCACGAAACGTGTTTCGCGTTGAAGTCGCCGCAGACGAGAGTGGGACGGGACCACCCCGAACAGATCGATTTCCCTCGAGAGCGCGTGCAAGAGATTTTCGAACTGGCTGACGGGACGATTCGGCGACACGTAAACGGACACCAAAACCGCGTTTCCTCATCCGACCAGAACGAAACCCTCCCCCCGGGACAGTTCTCGAGGCCTCGGCGTTTTGACCGAGTTCGCAAATAGTATCGCGGCCGCGCCGTCCTCGGATTCCAACCAAGAACCGTCGCGGCTTTTCCACCTTTTCGGAACGGCGTAAGGTTCCGAAATTATAACGACGACGACCTCCCACGCGCCTACCTCATTGAGCAGTAGGTCTTGCGCACCCCTGCAGTGATTGAGATTGACTTGAGATTGACATGTTTACTTCGAACTCTGGGCAGAGCCGTTCGTTCTCGGCTCGCACGAAAAAGCTCCCCGCGTCACACCCCCCTCTTTGAGCACCCCAACGGATGGCTTTGCTCCTCACCGAAGGTGCCGAGCACGAAGGACCGCCCAACCGGTGGTTAGCCGGACAGCCGGCCTCCGGGCATGTGGCGCAACAAACGGAGTTCGCGCAGTCGCGCGCCCGGTGCCCAGCCGCTCCGCACCTGAAGCAACGCTCCTGCGCTCCCTCGACCCTCCCCTCGAATTGCCCGGGATTCAGACCTCTGAAGCACACGGCCTTGGGCTTCGGCAGAAGAACCACCTGCGCTCTAACCCAACTGACGGTCACCTTGCCCGCCTCCAGGAGAACAGATGCGGCGGCTGCAGGAACGGACGCGAACCTCAGTCGCGGCCGTGCGCCCCCTCCGAGCGGAGGACGCACCAAAACGTCCGAGATAGGACATCCGCCTGCCCTAGACAACGCGAGAGCGACGTCGTGTGACGACGCGGACTCGCAGTGACTCTCGACGCGGAGGTCGACCCTTCTCGCGGGGCATGTCGCCGTGACCCCCATCGGCCCCACGATCTTCGAGAGCTCCGCCGCCTTGGCCGCCCTGTTTCCTCCCGTTGATCTCGAAAACCCTCCCCCAATTCGCGGGCGGACAGATCCTAAGGGAGTCGATACCTAATTTGGTAAGATCCACGCGATTCCTCGCGGCAGCCGGAGCCGACTTAGGCTTTGCCTTGTGGGACTTCGAGCGCTCCTGCACCCCCTTCTAGGAGGGAGCAGGAGTGGATTTATTGACTTCCTTCCTCTCGTCTTCAGCGACCCGCCTCGCACTTTTTCCCCTCTTACGCGGCCGCACCACGACGAAGCCGTCGCCTTCGCCATCGACGCAAACGTCGGCATGAACGACCTCTCGGGTTTCGGACCCGGCACCGAGCCCGAGAAGAAGATCACGGCCTCGGATGCGAACCAAGTACCGGCGCGACAACCCCCTCCCCCCGACGGAACCGGGCTCCGAGATCATCGCGATCTCGGCGCCCTACGTCCCTATCAAGTTAAGCAAAAGGTTTTGAGCCCCCATGCACCTGTTGAGACTAATTTGGTGAAACCTTCCCATGTTCATCGAGAGCTACCGGAGGAGCCGTTCGTTCTCGGCTGGCACGCGGAGGTTCCCCCTAACGTTTCCTACCATCCTACCAGTTCGGATCCCCAACGAAAGAGTGTACCCCTGACGGCTGGTGCCCCGCACGAAGACCCCCGAGCCGGTGTTGAGCCGGTCGGTCGGCCTTCAAACAGGGAGCATGGCTACCTTGCCCTCCTCAAGGTATCCAAGTTGAGGGTTTATAGTCAACGTGGGAAATCCAATCCCAGAATCCCCGCCCTTAAAACATCTTCTATACCTAGCCTCCGTGTAGTTGGATTACAGGAATGTTCCACAACTCCCGGCTAACTATTTTTTTCTTCCCGTAAATTTTTTGTTTTCAAATGGAAAAAAAAAAAAAATTGTAATTCCGTATAAAAAAAAACTTTATTTGAAAAATTTTTATTAATATTTAGTTTTAATTAACTCCTTTAAAAAATGCCATGCTTTTTGTAATACATTTATGGCTTAAAAAAAGGAGTATCATGTTTTAACATATACACATGGTCGATGATTACAAAGCAAAATTTTTAAAAAATAAATTTAAGTTGTTATTAATATAATTTTTTTTTTGTTTAAACAAATGTTATGTTAAATATTTATTTAAAAACAAGAAAAAAAAAGTTTCTTGAACTTTTTTTTTTTTAAAGCCTCGTGTTACAGCCACAATTATTTATATATATATATATATTTATAAATTTAATTACTTTTAATTTTTTTTTTTTTTTACAACGCAACACATATAAACAAAAATATGATTTATAATGAAATATTACATATGATCAATCAAACATTATATAAATTTATTTTTTAATATAATTTAATATTTGGCAACAAAAAAAAAAAAATTTTTTTATTTTCTTTTAACTCCTACTTTTTTTTTTTTTTACATAAAAATTTCAATGGAAATTAAAATGGAGAAATTTTACAGATAAAAAATATTTAATTATCTTTAATTTTCTTTTGTGGAAACTCATGTTATAAAACCTTTTTATGTTACATTTGCAACTTAATAATTTTTTTTTTTTTTTAAATAGACTATTACTTTTTTAAATCGCTGGATGCGGCGGTTGTAGTTGATATTATTTGACTTTTTGAATTAGTAACCGATTCTCTTAAACTTCTCGATGAAGATGTATTAGTTTGTCCTGAAGTTGAGAATTGTTTTATACTTCTTAAAGGATACCTAATCCGATGAGAAAGTTGTTGAAACATCTTAAACAAACAAATAATTACTTAAATTAATTAAAAAGTAATTAACGGAATTAAAAATTTCATATTATTAAAATTTTAACCCGAATTATTTTGTCGAAGGTATTTTAATTATTAACCTTTTTTTTAAGGACGAAAACAGCAAATATAAAAACTCCATGAAGTGCATTAGCAGTGTCGGTTATGTACCAAATCGGATGAGGAGCAAAAAATGAAATAATTTCCAAACTCCAAGTTATTCCCATGACAATAAATAATTTTCCATTAATAATAAATCTGTGATAAAAAAAAAACGCCATCGAATAAATATCAGTAATTTATTTATAATTAATTTTGTTTATTATTTGAAAAAAAAAATAATAATTTGATAAATTACATCTGCGCAAATCATATCAAGAGCCAAAAAAAAAAAAAAAATTGATTTAATTCTAATTAAAAAAAAAAAGGAAAAAATGTCAGATTTTTTAAATTCATTGTTTTGTTTACTTTTTTCTTTTTTTTTATTGATAGTTTTGTTCTTCGTTGGAAAATATTTTTAAAACTGTGTGTGTGTGTGAGACCTCATTTAACTCTGTTTAAAAAAAAAAAATTAAAAATATTTTTCAACAATATTTACTGATCTCTGTTGGCTGCAAATTTTGAATGTTTTTGTTTTCCCATTTTCGCAACATCAAGTTTAACTTTTCTTATTTTCATAGCCGTTTGAATATAAAAAACAATGTTACATGTTATTATTAATGAAATCGGTGCTATAAAAAATAAATAAATTGCTTTCGTTTGCCCTAAAAAACAAAAAAAGAAATTTAATGTGAAACGATTTAAATATACAATAAAATTCAAACGATAATAATAATAATTAATTCTTACTTGAAAACCAACAATTTTCTTCTCCAATATCCGGTTTTAATGAAGAAAAAGGAAAATTATCCATTTGATTAACGATAGCACATGCGGTTGTTATCAAACATGGAAAAAACCAAGCATATAACGAATACCATAGAAATTTTGTTTTTTTACTCTTGTCTGATTTTGATCTTTCCAGGCTCCGAACAACTCTTAAGAAACAAACAAAAAAAAATTTTTTTTTTTAATTCGTTGATGAAAGAATGAAAACAGATTTTTAAAACACACAAAAATTAATTTTTTTTTTTAAATAAATAAATCGAATAATTTATTAATTGTTCATAAGGTTAAAAATATTGGCAAAATAAATTTTTATATTAAATTAAAACATTTTTTTATTCGGTTTTCAAAATTTAATTTTCACCGAAAAAAACCGAAAGAATATACTGTTTATAAACGGTCAACAAACAAACAAATAAACAAACAAAGAGTAAAATACATTTGTGAAAATAATTTTTTTTTTTGTCCAAAATGTTTTAAACAAAAGAGTCAAATAAAAAAAAAAAATCTTTTGAAGTTTAACCCAATGTAAATAAAATAACATAAACATGGTGGTAAAACCTTATTATAAGTGGTTACTAATTAGCAGGTACATGGTAGGTTTTTATACTCATTGACTAAAATTTACTTTTAATTAAGTATTTATTTTAATATATATATTTACCTAAACGTTTTCCAAACATCAAACGATATAACATTTAACCAAAAAAATGCCGCCAGAAAGGAAAACAATATGGCATACCCTAAAAAAAAGTATAAAATATAAAACAATTAAAAAAGTTTTTTTTTTTTAAAACAAATTTGTTTGATGTTAAAATACAACAAACAAGGAAGTCATTTTTTCAAATCCCTTTGAACTTTTATTATTTATTTATTTTATTTTTTGTGTTAAAAAAAAAAGATGAAATAAACAATAAGAGCGAAATAGTTTTTTTCTATGGAAATAATCAATAGATAGACGCCTTATTTAAAGTGAAAGTAAATAAATAATAATTAAATTAACACTTACCCATGTAAATGCAAAGACGTTTGTTAAGTTCTGTTGATTTTAATCCGACAATTGCTAAACAAAGGTAAGCGGTAAAAAGACTACAAATGTAGCACATAATTGTTTTACCGTACAAATTTCTAGATTTTGGAGAAAATAAATAAAATAAAAATGTAAACAAAAGAAACGTGCATGAAATAATAAGACCAGAAGACAAAAGCAAATATTGAAGATTTGAATTTTCAAAATTAGAGGATCCTTTTGCGAAACATAAAAAACTTCCGATTTCGCTGTAATTACCAAATTCAACGTGTTCTAAACAGAAATCGTTTTTTTTAAAACATTTTTTATACATTGGAACGTATAAATTTCCAGAAACATCTAAATAACTTATTTCTCCTTCGTCTCTTTCGAGTAGATATTTTCCTTGTTTTTCACAGGCATCGCCCAGGAGTAGCCCATAATCTGACAACGTTATCGAATTATCAGAATCCAAAGATGGCAAACGAAAAAATTCTGGATGAAAAGGATGATTTGTCCTTTGACATTTACGACCCATCGGACCGTATGATTGTTTGAGCGGACAACATTTTCGAAAACATTTTTTATTCAAACAAATTTCATTAGAATCTTGACAAATTAAAACGATAGTTTGATTTAAATAATTAGGATTTTTATCGATGCAATAATTTTTGTAAATTGTTTCGTTTATTTTTATACCCAAACCTTCGAATTCAATTTTTGTTAATAAATAAGTCGATACGACGGAATTGTTGTCGCAACGAGGTTCATTTTCGACAAACAAATACTTGGTACCATCCTGATTATTTAGTCCGTTGAAAAAAAATTCCGTTAAATTTTTTGTGTAATTGTCATTGTCGAATTCGACGCAATTGTAATTTTCAATATCGAAATATGAATTCAAAGAGCAACATTTATTTATAAATAATTTATTATTCCTTTCGTTCGTAAAAAAATAATTTCCTTCGAAAAAATTATATTGCTGAGTGTGAGGGGTTAAGAGTTTTCTATAATTAGGTATGTCTTCGTGATCACTATATTCCACAATGTAATTTTTTTTTGCTGTGTCGTTTGTTGTACGAGTTGCAACGTCAGCAACAACCAAATGACGTGAATTAGAATTTCCACATTCCCATTTGTAATCATCATCATCATCAAATTTATTTGATTTTACTAAACGAAATTTTATTTGTATCAAGACCACGAGTAAAAGTAATAATTCCACTTTAATTCTAAACATTTTAATAACATAATTATTGTATGTGATATAAAATACAAAAAAAAAAAAAAGACGAATTATAATTTTTTTTTTATTTAAACAAATTCTTCGTGTTGGCGATTCTGCGATTCACGAACAACTGGCCAATGTTTGTTTGACATTCCCAATGCCAATAAGAATTTACAGTATTGTGTAAATAACCATGGAAAAAAAAAAATACACTTATAGGAAAAACCAAGAGGAATAAGAGAAAAAAAAATTAAATTGAAAATGAATAATCTAAAAAAAAAAAAAGTGATTTTCTTATTATTTTTTTCAAAAAAATAATAATAATTGAACTAAAAATAAAACTAAAATTATTAATATATTTTTGTTATATGAATAAATCATTCTGTTGCAATTTCAATTTAAAATAAAAACATTTTTTTTGTTCTGTTAGTATATTAGGAATGAAATATTAACAACGATACATTTTACTGATTGTTCACATTATAATGTGATGTTAATAATAATAATATTAATAATATTTCCAAATGATCCTTGAATAAATAATCAATAACATTGAAAATTAATTAGCAATGAAATCAAATTCAAATAATCATTTTTTTTTTTAATTATTAAGTAAAAATTTCATATAAGTATAGTATATTAAGTATAGTATAAGTAAAGTATAAAATTTTATTATAAGTAAGTAATTTTTCACAAATAAACAAAAGAAATCATTAATTAAAAAAAATTTTATTTATTTTTATTACGTTATATACGGTAAAGGAAGTTAAACTTAATTTTAGTTGGCTGCTATGAATGACTAACTACTGGAGTCAACTGAGTGACTTACTTAAAAAAGTTTTTTTTTTTTGTAATTTAAACTAAAAACTTAAAAAATAAAATAAAATTCACTCGATAACTTTTATTAAATATTAATATAAAATTTGAGACTTTTATCATTATCCCAAAAAATAAAAGGTTTATATAAAAGGTTTCAACCGAAAATATCAATAGATTGTCAAAGGCAACGGTTGTATTTTTAACGGTTTTTTTGTTTCGTTAATCCTTAATCACAACAAAGGCAGCTATCTTAAACAAAGTTTTTTTTTATAATAATAATAATAATGAAAAAGGAACTTGAATTTATATTTTCTGGCGTTCCAAAATTAAGAGAATTAAAATATTTTTTGGCAGCATTTAATTACAAAAGGGAAAGTTTTTGGTCGGTTGGTAATTATCAAAAAATATTAGCGAGGTATTAATTTTTTGTGTGTTATTATAAATTTGAAGGATATTTTTTATAAATTACACAACCTTGATGTTGATAAATTTATTATTATTATTATTTAGACAAATCATACAAGTTCATGATGACGTTTTAACCGCACCCGTAAAAGGAAGACCACACGAAATTTATTTTATTATTTCAAACGATAGTTATCAACCCGAAAAATTAACAAAAATGGCGGATAATTTTAATTTAAATTTTAACGGCCCGTATCCGTTGAATTATAATATTTATCTTCAATGCATTTGCTTTACATTAAATCACAAAATTTCTTCTTCGGATTGGAATTTGATAAAAAATTATTTTGTACGAAATGAAAATTTTTTTAAATTAAATGACACAATTGAAAGTGTACAATTAACTTATTTTCTCACGGGTAAAAATTTTATTTATTTATTTATTTATTTTACAATCGAAATTTAACGAATCGACAAAATTATTAAATTATTCATTTGCATTTAATAATTTATAAAATTTATTAGATGGAAATTTTGGAATTTATTTAAAACCAGGAATTCTTAAATTATTTCATTTGAATCCATCAAACCTGAAGAATATCGATTTTACTTTTGCTAATGAAGGAAAAAAATCAATTGAAATAAAAAAAAAGGTTTATGTATTACCATACCTTAATGTAGCCACAGCAGTTAACATTTGTGCCAACCTACCGACCTCATCTCCTTTTAAAAATTATGCTGATATTAAAAACTATTGGAAAATTTTAGTAAGTATTTTGTCAAGTAAGAATAATTGATGATTAAAAATTTTTTTTAAATGTTTATTTAATTTGCGTGTGTCTGTGCGTGTGTCTGTGCGCGTGTGTGTGTTTTAGCATAACTACAACTTACCTGAAAATGACGAAGGAATGTTTTACGTTGAAGTTATATTTGATTGGAGTAATTATAAATACGTTTATCCGATGATTTGTGTTTATGAAAATCCACCATTTCAACAAGAAACATTAAATAATAATAATAATAATAATAATGATTTTATAAAAGCAATAGAAAATAACTTAAGAAAAATATGTGGGAGCCATGTTCAATTTAAACTTGGAGAAAAATCGGTTTGTAATTGTTTCTTTTTAAATATTTAAAATAATACGACAGTATGTTTAACTAATTACTTTTACAATAGAATAATAATAATAATAATAATAATAATAATAATAATTGTGTTAAACGAAATATAAAATTAAAATACGATTTTATCACAATTTATTTAAAATTTTTAGGAAACGATTCAACCGAATTCGCCTGGATCGTTAACACCGCATTACGACGAGATATTAAATAATAATAATAATAATAACCATGACGAATTTAAAATTGAAAAAAAAACAATAGAGAAAAATGTATTTTTGTAAAAATTTTTTAAAAGTAAATTTAATATTTACCATAAATATTAAAATAATAATATAAATAAATTTTAATTTTTTTTTAGATATTGAATAATCACGAAGAAAATTCATCGGGTTTTTCTTTTTCGCGACAAGTACTTCCTTCTACCGGAAATGAAACGGGCGAAAAATTTTTATGCCATCAAAAAAAAAATTCTGAATGTGGTTTTGATTATAAATCTTCCTTTGAACGCGAAGAGAATTATGAATTGTTTGAAAATATAAAATCTTCTGCTTATTTAAAAAAATTACATTGTTTTACGGTTCCCATATTATTAAAATTTTGTAAACAGAATAATATAAAAGTTAAATCAAAGGAAAAGAAAAAAATATTAATTGATAAAATTCATCATTTTTTTTTTCTTGTGAATTAAAAACATTAAAACATTTAAATATCGTAAAAATAAAAATTTTTTTCTGATTTATTATATACGTTAAATTATTGTTTAATCCATTCGATATGTTTCTTATAAAATCATAACTATTAAAAAAGTAAAAAAATTCTTATTTATTATTAAATTGGTAGTATTAGTCATTATTAAGCGGCCATATTGAATTTTACTTACGGAGAAAAACTCTTTTAAAAATACTGCGCAGTTAGTCGTCTTCGATTTTTGCTGTTAAAAATATATGTAAAATCGTCTGCGTGACATCAAATGGCGATAACAACAACAACAAAAACAACAAAAATTATGTTTTGAAAATTATTTATGAATTTTTATAATGAAAATAAAAGTCTAACAATTGGAATATGTGGAAAAATAAAAATGGTAGTTCGAAAAAAGATAGTGGTACTCCATCAAAAGCAACAAGTCAAAATTTAGAATCGTTATCCGAAGACGAAGAAAAAATAAAAATGAATATTATTGGAAATGATGAAACTTGGTCGATAGGTACGACAAATGAAACGACAATAGAAAAAATTAAATTAATGGCTTTGTCTCATTTTTTCAATACAAATGATTCTCATAAACTTGCACCTAAATATAGACTTATAAGCGTTTCCGAAAAAAGACCCCTACCTAACACGAGTACTTTGTTTCAAGAAGGACTTAGAAATAACGGTAAGTTATTACGTCATTATTTTTAAACTACCTATCGATAATTAAAGGTTTTAACGTTTGAAAAAATTTAAGATGAGCTTTTATTGGTCGAATCTTATATTCCTCCAATTAAAGAACTACCAACACCTGATTCTTTAAAAGGTCCCACACCTGTTCAGATAAATAGTATTACTCATAATCAAAGAGAAAAAAATGCAATAAGAAAATATCCACAAGCAGAATGTGCCGCCGATGTGAGTACTTAAATATATATATAAACAAATAACGTAGACATTTTAATTTAAGTTTTTTTTCATATTTGTAACCTTTTACCAGTTTCATCGAGAAGTTAGAAAAATTCTCATGTCTTTATGCGAAGTATCGGCAAAAATATTATCACCAACTCCGGATTCACAAAAAATAATAAAATTAATAGCGGAACAGCTTTCAGCAAGACGGGTATCAGAAATAAATCCAACTTCCATAAAAGCATTAATAGATATGGGTTTTACTAAGCAACAAGCAGTAACAGCATTAAAAAAAAAGTAAGCCGTAATATAATTAAAATAAAGAAAGTTTAACAAAAAAAAAAAAAAAATTATTATTATTATTATTATGTTTTAAATGCAGTATTAATCATAGAGAAGCTTTAGAATGGTTAATTGAACATTCAAACGATCCAAATTTCAATGCTGAAGATGATTCCGATGGCGGACCCGGTCCGTCAACGAGCGCACAAATTTCCAGTTCAAATTTAACATTAGTTCAAGCCGTTAACGAAATGTTAGAAAAATTTCGTAAAATAAGAATGAAAGATTTTAAACCTAATCCAAAATCAGTAACCATTTTACAAGAAATGGGATTTAAATCGGAAGATGCACAAGAGGCACTTAGAGTAACGGGAAATAATCAAAATGCAGCTTGCGAATGGTTATTGGGAGACAGGCGTCCAAGTTTACAAGATTTAGATAAAGGAATGGATCCTGATAGTACGATATATAAAGCAATTATGAGTAATGCTTCCGTCCAACTTAGTTTAAACAATCCGAGAATGTTACTTGCTTTTCTCTCCATGTTGGATAATCCTAATAGTGCAAACTTGTGGTTGAATGATCCTGAAGCTGCACCGGCTTTAAACACAATATTTAAAATATATCATTCGGAAAAACATGTCAATCACTTTTCGTGACATTAATTTTCTTATTTAAATTAAAAACAATTTTAAAAAATTATAATTTTTTTTTTTAGAACTCATTTAAAATTTATAGTATAAAACAAAAAAAAAAAAAAAAATTAATTCACGCACATATGATTCCAAAAGACGATGATACACGCACCAATTTTCAAAATGAAAATTTTTTAACAATAAAAAAAATAAATAAAATGATAATAAAAAATTTTTTAATACGTTTTCAATTAGTAAAATATATATTTAGCTGCACATTTAAATTATTAGACAATTATTTATCTATTAAATAAAAACAAAATCGTAATATAAACAGAATTTTATAAATAAAACTAAAACTAAAACCTTTAAGGTCAATTACGAATTTAATTCGGCACAAAAATAACTTAACATAAGCCTTTTATAAAAATTAATAATAAAAAAAAAAAAAAAAAAAAAATCTGATGTATTTTTACTGTATTTTTTCAATTATCAACTACTCTCAAGCCTTAAACCTGTTTTTTTTTTTTTTTTTAAATCAAAATAAATGATAATTATAATGATAATAGTTTGATTGGTTCTAAATTACGACTTAAAAACTAATTTGATAAATTTTAGCCTTTTTTTTTTTTTTATTAGTGTTCGCTCCCTCATTTATCTCGTCGCACCTAAACCTTTTTCTCTTTCTTTTGCATTTTCTGCTTCAATTTTCTCCTTGATTTTTTCAGGATCGATTTCAACTTCTTTTCCGTATTGTAAAAATTTTTCATTTGTTTCCGGCTTGTCGAACACTTCCAAATAACATTTTCGTTTGTAAAGAACTGTGTCGACGTGGGTTCGATGCTTAATTGCTAGTTCTAATGCCCTAATTATATAATTAAATCATAATAATAATAATTTTAAAACTTAAAAATTTATAAAATGCATTTTGTTAAAATTGACAACAATACCTGACCCAATTATGCGAATCCAAATGCAAAGAAATGGCTCGATAGACCATCCCATTCATGAGAAAAATATTTTCGGCTTCTTTTTTATTACCGCACAATAAAGCCAAATGAGCGTTTTGTACCGGACGAAGAGGTAAACGTTTAATATATTGAATATAAGATACTTTATCAAATTCATTTATGGCGGCGTAAGATTCTTCTGCGGTTTGTAGATTTTTCGAACGACACGCCATGCAAGACAAACAAGCCCATAACATTTCTTCCTAGATTTAAATAAAAAATAGTTTTTTAAATTTTTACCAAAAAAAAATTTCAAAATTAAACTCTTTAAAAATTTTTATTCTTACGTTGACAAAACGGCAAATTCGCAATGCGTCATCCCATTTATTCGAAGCGACAAAACCGTGCAAAATTTCACAATATGGAGTAATGGAACAACTCACTAGAGCCCCATCGATTCGCCTCATATTAATTTGATTATTAATAAAACTAATTAAACTTAAACTCCTGCCATATTCACTGCAAAATAATATTTTGAATTTGTTATAGCACATGCTTAAAATTTAAAAATAATTTTAAATTATTTTATAGAGAGAGAGTCATTAAAATAAATTAACCTTAAATCTTTTATCAAAGTGCATTTTCTTAAAATTTGCTTATCAATATATAAAGCAGTAGGAAAAAGCCAAAGAGTCAAAGTGGAATCTTGAAGACCGGCTAACATATTCACTTCCGGATTCCAAGCCAAAGTTTGAATCATAACTCCCAATTTGGATATTTTTCGAAATTCATTTCCGTAAACGTAACAAATATAAATATCTTGATTTCTGTCGATGAATGCAAGCTGCCGCTCCTGAGAATCTTGTGCCTGATTCAAAGCAATACACGAAATTCCCAAAGTGTGTTGAACGGGTGCAAGATTTGTAATCTGACGGGAATTTGAAATATCCAATAAATGTATATCTAAAAAAGTATTCGTGAAAATAAATAAACAAATACTGCCAGATAAATAATAAAAAACAAGTAGTTATCATTATCTCACATTTGTCATCGTTTTGATCCAACAATCCTAACGTTTCAGCACTTAATGTGATACCATTCGAATCAATTGTGTCGGTTTGCAATCCGGGAATTTTCGGAGAACACAAAAATTTACCCTCATAAGAATAAATGTTAATGTGTGACCTTTCGACTAATAAAAAATGTCTGTTTCAAAACATTGGGGTGAATTAAAAAATAATTCAAATATATATATTTTTGAATCGATAATAAAAAATGAAATAAAAAAAAAAATTACTTGTAGCTCATGATAATTAAACTTGCAGATCCTTCTTTCAAATCAAAAATAAAAGGAGTATTCCAATTGGTTGTGCTAAAAACGTGGCATTGATTAGGTGTTGTAACAATCAAATGATTATGTTCTAATGCCATCTTGGCCACACGTTCTGGAAACTCAAGTTTATCCGTTACTTCTGTAAGGACGTCACGAACTAAAATACTTTTTCTACTTGTTAAAATAACTTCAAAGTTTTTCCATTCAATTCTCCTGTAAATATGTTCAAATTATAAAATTAAACTTTTTTAAGTTTTTTGGTGTTGTTTGTAAAGGTAAGAAATTACCTGTCGACAATATGAGCAAAAATGATGTTTCCATTACTGCATGCTCCAGCTAATTGAGTACCATCGGGGGACCAACTTAGGGCATATATGTTACCACTATTCGGTTTGTCAAGAGAGTGAGACCATCCTATTTTATCACACAGTTTTAAAGTATTAAATGATCCAACGGCAAATACCTCACCCCCAGGTGACCAAGATAAACTTGTTACGGGATATTCACAAAGTGCATTTGAATATAATTGCCTACCAAATGAATCCCACACCTTATACTTACAATCCTCTCCCCCGGATACGATTAAATTATTACTTTGATTCCAAGCCACCTTTAAAATTAGCCCTTCGTGAGCTTTCCACTATTAAAAACAAAAAATTAAATTTTTCATTGAAGTCCGGCCAATATTAAAAAAATAAAAATAATGTACTTACTCGTAACGGTCTAGTATTAGGAGCAAGAGGTTTAATAACAAGCATTCTACCCTGAGCCAATAAGACTTGGTTCGAGTCTGGACCCCAAGCCGCAGTATATAGGGGTGTATCATCATGAATTAATGTTGACCGTAACATACCACTGCGAGACCAAATTTTTGCTTGTCCATCTTCTCCCGCTAATGAAACAACGTGTCAATAACATTTTGAATTGTAATTTTTAATCAATTGTATAACTAAAATTTATACCAGTTAAAATTCCAGCCCCATCGTAACTCCATTGTCCAACCAATGCCGCCCCCCTGTGAGCTTCTACACTTTTTTCAAATCTTCCATTTTTATGAATCAAATGAAATTTTCCTGTATTATTAACTTATATTATTACTCTTTTTGCATAATAAAAAAATCTTCTCATTCCAAAATTAACTGCGACATATTATTTACCATCGGCGGACGTAATCAGTAAAAGATCGGAAGACGATTTTCTTCCGACTGATTGAACTTTTGGAAACCAATGCATGTCTGTAGGATAAAAATCCTCAGGCAAATCACATATTTTCATTGCTTCATTCGAATAAGAACTGCATTTCATGAGTACATGATCGTCGCTGCAATTCGATATTTCAAAAAGTTACTTATTGTTTCAAACACAATTTTAATAATTATAATCAATAATTATGATTCTTACCCGCAAGATAAATATCTTCTATATATACACCTACACAGGTGACCGTACTTGATGTTTAACATTTTTTAAAAATGTTGTCTTAAATCTCATCGTAAATAAGACAAATAAAAAAATATGTATTCACAACAATGTTTCCATGGTAACGGAAATTCGTACACAATCTACACGGTATGTAATCACTTGAATGATCTCGATGTAAAATTTAAAAAAAAAATATTTTTATGACAAAACATTCTCAAAATATCATTTATATTAAAAAAAATTTATAAATTTTAAAAATATACTAGCACTGTGTAAAGTCCCGCACAAAAAATATTTTTAACACGTCGCAAAAAAAAATTCAATTGTATTACTTAATTTTTATATAATTATCGATTTGAAATTTTTAAAAATTTTCTATAAAGCTTCGACATTCATTTCTGAAAATTAAACATCATTTCAAATTAATTTGCATCGTTTAGTGAAACTGATAACTACTTAAACAGTATTCAATTACCCTTTTTGGACTTTTCATCTTTTCATGAAACTGCTGTTCATAGAATTGTTAGACCTTTGAATATTGTTTTTGTTAGCTTTAATACGGTCAGCCATTGTATTTCGAGATGTAAGCTGAGAAATTTGTCTCCTGCAAAAAATCAATTAAATCAAAGATTTAAACTAATATCAATGAAAAAACTGTAAAATTAAATTAACTGTAATTAACTGATGAGTGTAAAGTGTAAAAAAAAAAAAACCTCATAAAGTCATCATCATAATTTTCAAGTTTTTCCTCCTCTGCTTCGATTTTTCTATGATGAGCCATACTTTTCTCTCTTTCTTTTTTTCTTATTTTCGCATCTTCCATCATTTCTTTCAATTTTCTTTTTTTTTCTTTTTCAGATAATGGTTTTGATTCTTTGTGAAAATCTGGCTTTACTTTGTTTTCTACTGGTTTTTCATATCTAGGAGGAGTTGAATATTTTTTTTTTGAAATCGGACTAGAACCATCCGGCATCTGAAATTTTCAAGGTAAATTTATTAATTGTGGACAACTTTATAAAATTCTCATTTTAATTTAACTCATTTCAATTAAAAAAAGGAATTAATTAGCAAATGCTAAGCATGATAACATAAAGCGACTAATTAAAATTTAATTTAAAAAAAATTTTTTTCAAATATAAACTTACCATTAATCCATAATTATCAATTTTATTCTTTTCCGTATTCTTATTATTCGATGAATCCGATTTATAGTCATCAGATCTTCCTTTTCTTGCCACTTCATTTTTGTCAATTTTGTTTTTATTCCTTGTTTCATTACAGTCTTTTTTATCATCTTTCACTTTAAAATTATTTGAATTATGTTTTTCTTTATAATTTGTTGAATTTTTATATTTATTATTTACTGTAGTATTATAATCCCTAATTGAAGAAATTGACCTTTTATCTTCTTTTTTTTTTCTAATTTTTTTACTGTTTTTCGAACTATCAGAATCAGAAGAAGTGCTTTCATATTTTCTTTTCCGCGTTTTTTCACTTTTTCTTTTTTTATACTTTTTTTCATATTTTCTATTTTTACAATTTTCAAAATATTCCTCATTACTACTGCTGCTGCTGCTGCTGCTGCTAGAGGCTGAGTCACTGCTTATTGAGCTTTGAGTAGAGGAATCGGAATCATTCAATGAATATTTTTTCTTTTTTTTTTTTTTCTTTAGTGAATTATTTTTACTTTTTTCTCCTGTTAAAGAATCACTAGAAGAGCTTAATGATCTTGGCTTTAAAATAACTTTCAATGCTTTTTGTTTTTCATCATCAGAAAATTTTTTTAACATTTTGGCAATTTTTAAATTTAACTTTTTAACTTTGTTAGATGATTTTTTGTGATTCTTATGAGACTTACTATCTTGATGTTTTTTTAAGAGCTAAAAAATAAAATACAACTTATAAAATAATTTGAAGAAAAAATGAAACATTTTAAAAAATACAATTATTTTTGCAATAAATCACCATTTGCTTTATTTGTTTTAATTTCACTGGATTATTTAAAAGTTGTTTTCTGGCTTCTAATTCTTTTTGCCTGATAGCATACAAAGGATCTTCTAAAATTTTTTTTGCAATGTCAACTTGTTCAGTATTTTCAGTTTTTTGAAGTAATCGCTTAGGAATATTAGCTAAAATTTCAAAAATATATAATTATAATTCATTTATACGTTATTTAAAAGAGAATTTAAAATGAATTTTTAATAAAATGTTGGAATTGAAAAAAAATTATTTACACTGTTCTATATTACTGCCTGAATTTTCTATGTCACCGCCAAAATTTAAAACTTCAAATGATTTGTCTATAGATTTGCCTAATAAATACTCTTCTCTGTTGATGGTATCCAGTGGCCCTTTGTACATCCAGTTAAGTCGTGATTCTGTGGTGGCACTAAATAAGATTCAAAATAAATATTTTCTAAAAACAATGAAATCGAAGTAACGTATTTTCAAAAAAACTTTTAATAATTTACCTTTCATTACCATCATTATTTGTACTCCTCATTTCTTTTAAAAGCTCAGCAACCTTTCTTTTCTCTGTATCGTCCATTACTTCTGATTTATTATGAGTTTAAAACAAAAACAAATTGCAATAATTTATAGTATTAAGAAATTTTTCATGACTGTTGTATGAACGGGCGCAATGTAATAATTCGCAGAATAAGAACTTAACAGGCAACAAGTCGACTTTAAGTCCACAATATTGCAAGTCATTATATTTTATTTAAATTAATTCACAGGTTTTCAAATAATTAATATTTTTTAAATTTTCGCCGTAATTATTTATAAACTTTCTTTTTTTTTTTTACCCATTAAAACGTTTTTTAAATATTGGAGTTGGTGCTTCTAATTCATGCTGTTTGAATTTCTGAACGTAGTTAGTTTATTTTGCAGAGTGACCAGCACAATTATTAAATAGTTTTTATTGTAGATTGCTAAATTTTAGAAATAATGACTGCAGATACTGATATTGAGATGAAAAGCCCCGAGAGTTTAGCCGATAATGAAAATTCTTCAAAAAAGGATACTGATTTGGTGAGCATACAAGATCTCCGCGAGCAAGCTAGGCAAATAGAAAAAACCGTGCAATCTAAAGAACCGAGATTTGCACTTAGGGTATTACGAGCATTACCGAATACCAGAAGAAAGTTAAATCCTTCAGTGTTAAGGGGTGTCATTAATCATTTTTATTCTCACTCAACAAGCGAAAGAGATGCTCTATTATCTTTTGTAGAAGGATCTGGTTCTCCCATGGATATTGACACTCCTGGAAATCAACGCGTCAGAGGTATAAAGAGTCCAACTACTTTATTGCCTGAAGTAGATGCATATATTCACTTATTGGTATTAATAAAACTTTTGGATTCTCAAAAAAATGAACTTGCTGTAAAATGTTCAGATGCTTTAATGACAAAAATAACAGCACAAAACAGAAGAAGCTTAGATTTAATGGCAGCCAAATGTTACTTTTATCATTCACGATCTTACGAGCTCACTAATCAACTTGACAAAATAAGAGGATTTCTTCATAGCAGATTAAGAACTGCTACTCTTAGAAATGACTTTGAGGGCCAAGCTGTATTAATTAATTGCATTCTTCGAAATTACCTTCATTACAATTTATATGATCAAGCTGATAAACTGGTATCAAAATCAGTTTTCCCAGAATCTGCAAGTAATAATGAATGGGCAAGATTTTTATATTATCTTGGATGCATTAAAGCAGCAAGACTAGAATACTCAGCTGCACATAAGCACTTGGTTCAAGCGATGAGAAAAGCTCCTCAAACAGCTGCAGTTGGATTTAGACAAACATGTCAAAAATTAGCTGTTACAGTTGATTTATTATTAGGGGATATTCCCGAGCGACAAATATTTAGGCAAGCAACACTTAGAAAAGCATTAGCTCCTTATTTTCAGCTGACTCAAGCTGTAAGACTTGGAGATCTTCATCATTTTAGCGAAGTTTTAGAAAATTTTAAACCACAGTTTGAAGCAGATCATACATCGACTTTAATTCATAGATTACGTCATAATGTTATAAAAACAGCTATAAGATCAATAGGATTGTCTTATGTTAGAATATCACCAGCTGATATAGCTAAAAAACTAGGGCTAGACTCACCTGAGGATGCAGAATTTATAGTGGCAAAAGCAATTAGAGATGGTGTCATTGAAGCAACCTTAGATCCAGAAACGGGTACAATGAGAAGCAAAGAAACTTGTGACATTTATTGCACAAGAGAACCCCAACTTGCTTTCCATCAAAGAATATCATTTTGTCTTGATCTTCACAATCAAAGTGTAAAAGCGATGAGATACCCTCCAAAATCTTATGGAAAAGATTTAGAATCGGCTGAAGAAAGAAGAGAAAGAGAACAACAAGATTTAGAGCTAGCAAAAGAAATGGCAGAAGAAGATGATGACTTCCCTTGAAAGTCAAAAAGTATTTATAACAAAAAAAAAGAAACTCTTTACAGTGTGAAGTTGATTTTTTGTTTTTTTTTTTAAAAAAACTTATCACTAAAATTATATTATTTACAGTTTAAACTTTACTTTAATTATAATATTTAATAATATTCATTAAAAAAAAATTTTTTTTTTATTCAAGTTTTTTTTATTTTTGGACCTTACTAAAAATTTAAAATAATTTATTTAACTTATATAAAATCATTAAAATATAAATTTATTTTTTTTAAATGACTGAATAATTGAAATTTAATAATAATTTTTTAATTTTGAGTTAGAATGAAGTTTTACGTGACTGTAAACTTTTTAAAAAACTTTTTTTCCCCCCCCCAATTATTTTCTTACCGATATAATTTATACGTTACTATTGTAATGTGAAAATTTCAATATTTTAAAACATATAAAATTTTGGTTTATTGGTTCCTATTTTTTTTTTTTTTTATAAATAACCAAGTCAAAAAATATAATTTTAACTAACTAAATATGTACATAAAAAATTAATTAAACTGCCAAGAAGAGAATTTATATATATATATATATATAAAAATATAAAATTTTTTTAAATTTTCGAAAATTATAAAATACATTTTAATTTTAGTTAGTAATAATAATAATAATAATAAAATTTACAATAAAATGGCATTACCAGTATTTATTAATACAATTTTTTTTATGAAATAAAAATTTAGGACAAAGTTTTTTTTTTTTTTCTTTTTTTTTCTTCTTTTTTTTTTTTTAAATACAATTTTACATAAAATAAACTTTAAATATATATATATATATAAACTTATTTGCACTCAATAGTTCTTCTTTCATTTGTTCATTCACAGTTTATTTTTTTTAACACTTATGGGCACTCTATTAATTAATTAAAATTTCATTTATATATATATTTGTCACTTTTTTTTTTTTTTTTTTTTTTTTTTAATACTTATCTCTTTTCTTAAAATTTCTTTTACTTGCACATCTGCTTATTATTTCAGAAACGTGAACTTTATGATCGAATACTTTCATCATTTGCGTTTTAGCTTCCTGCATTTGATCTTTAATTACTTTACTCCTTTGAATATTACCCTTGAAAAAGAAAATCAATCATAACCATGAACAAAAACAATAATTCATAAAGACTGTAATTCAAAAGACCAAAATTCAAAACATTTTATTACCATAATAAGATCGTTAACTCGATTTACATCTTCTCGATATCTTTGCAAAGACTCCTGTCCATTGCTTGGAGCATGCTGGATAAACGATCCAAAACGTGTGACTCCATTTCGGACTGCAAACCGAACAAAAAATATTTGAATAAATTAAAAAATTTATCAGACGTTTCTTTGTTTTGAATGAAATAGATTTGTAAACTTACTAAATCTTCCATTTGAGTACTCAAATGATATATTTTCCACCCGTTAACCTTTTGAACAACTTGCTTTTGATTGGCCAAATCCGTAACGGTCGGCCGTCTTTCATCTTTAGGCTTTACATCGCTGTATCGTAAAAAGTGATTGTGGCGAGATTTCCAATTATGTTTGTAGCTATGTAACAATGAAACATTAGGCCTTTTCACAACATATACTTTATCAGCCGGCACGTCTTCATCTTCCCTCTCCTTTTTTATCCTTTCGTCGCTAATAAATTCCATTTCGATAGCATCGTTTGCATCATTCCTAAAACAATAATAATACAATTCGTTAAAAGAACAATTTATGGTACACACATCGAGGAGTATTAAAAAAAAAACTAACAATAATTGCTTTCTCGGTTTCTTTCTAGGGCTCATTTCTACAGGTGGCCTATCAACATCTTCATTGAATTCAGTTTTGATGACGGGCATTATGTTCTCTGCTGGATCATCGGGTCCCGGAGAAGAAGTTGCGGAAATAGTGGTTGATCCGTTCGAGGAAGGCCCATGGTCATTCGATTGTTGATTAGTGTCAACATGCAAAGAAGGAGGAGAAGGCGACGCACTTCGACTTACAGATGTTGATGATAAAACAGGAGTTAAATTTTTTGTAGCTTTGGCTGGAGATCTGTAATTCAGTTTACAAAAAAAAAATTTAGTTTTATTTTTTCTTCAAATCGTATAAGTTATTTTTATTTATTTATTTATTTAATACGTACGCTTCATTATCACGCTTTCTTAATATACTAGGACGAGGAGATGAGTTTAATTTAGACACTGAGGTTAGAGGGCTTTCACTGATCATAAGAGTAGAATTCTCACTGGAATAACTAGGCTGAACAGTCACAGCGGCTTGATCGACAATCATAACCGAATTAAATCGCATATGTTGAGGAGCTGCAATCAGGCCTAAAAAGAATTTTTCGTAAAAAATAATTAATGAATTTAAATTTTACAAAAACAAATAAACTTATTAAGTATTTCAAGAATTTTTTTTTCTTTTAAATTTAAAATGAATTCCATTGAACATTTACCATGCCCTGAAATAGTATTAGAACGTAAGCTTCCCGCACTATTCGATGCTTGAGACACAAACGTGTTACTGCCGGGTGTAAAAGGTCTGGCTATAAGGGGTCCTTCTGATGATAACTGTCTGGATACCAAAGGTGTATCAGGAGATAATGGACGTGCTACTAATGGAGCATCGGTTGCAAGTTGGTAACCACTAGGTGCTTCATAAAAATAAGATGCTCCTCCTGGTAAAGTGTACGTCGATAGTGTTGGGGCATTAGTAGAAGCAAGTGATGAAGCTGTGCACACAAGACCTTAAAATTAATTTATAACATTTTTAACTATATTAGAAAAAGTAGTTAAAAAAGAAAGTAAAATCTTACACAATAAAATGTAAAACTTACCAGGTGATGATAAGGTTCTATGAATATATACACTGGAAGAAGGAGGTTGAACTGATTGAGAAGCAGAAACCTCGCTATCGGCAACAGTTGTCGTAGTTCCTGAACTTTGAGGAAATATTTTGGCAATGGAAATCGATTGCGACGCTACTACTGCAACAGGTCTTGTTGTTACTGAAGTTGTAGAAGTGTAACATACTGAAAATTAAAAAAAAAATTAAATTAATTTTGTGCAATTATTCTGATTAAAATTTATTAACATGTAATATAAACCTAAATTTGGTAGGTAATACGTACTTGGCTTACTAGCAACAGTTGTTGTAATAGTAGTTTGAAGAGCATTTTGAGAGGGCTGAGTTATAACTTTAGAAGAAGCTATATTTACAGGAGATTGAGTTATTTGTATCGGTCCATGCAATGCCTGGGTAATTAGCTAAAAATAATTATAACATAAAGATTGGAGAAACTAAAAATTTTTTTTTACATTTTAAAATCTAATAAAAATGAATAAAAAACGTACTTTCTGACCCGTTCCCGTATTATGTATTTGTACAGGTCTACTACCAGTCAAATGATTGGCACCATGAAGTGACTTAGTAGCATTGACCATGATTTGGGGGTGAACTACAATTCCTGTTGATTGACTTGGCGTAGAAGATAATCTTGAAGTTGTTGTGGCGGCAGTAATTTGACTGGTTATTGAAGTAGTAGACCTCGTGGATGGCATCGCCGTTGAGACTGTAAACCTGGTGAGGTTACTGTTAGTTGTCGAAGTCATAACTCTGGTGGTAGTAGGTTGGTGATTGGATACGCCTGTTACAGGCATTCTTGTAGCAGTAGTCATAACAGCAGTTTGAGAACTAATCATTGTGGGTTTTGACGTTGACAGAACTGTAGTGCCTAAAAAGGTGATATTTATTAAACTAATTTTTACAGATTGAAACAAGCATTTTTATTAATTTTACAAACCGGCACTCGCGATTCTGGCGGTGGCTGTCAGTACCGCTGGTTGGGCTCCAACAATTTGTGTACCTATTCTGGCGGGAGTTGCAATAATTGTATTCTGCCCTGCAACCAGTCGTGTTTGTGCTGGTATCACAGATGTTGTTTGAGAAACCGCATTGTTACTTCCTACTCTACTTGATGCAGCAATTACCGTCCCTTGACCGAGAGCTAATAATTACCAAAAAAAAATTCAACTTAGAAATTCAAAGTTTAAAAAAAAAAAAACTTATGTTAAAATTAACTTACCGCTGGGAATGCGTGGTTGGCCGCTTAAAGTCACAGCTTGAGCAGTTCCAGTTGTTACGGTGGGAACCGTGATTCGAGAAGCCAATACAGTACCCGGAGTAGCAGACATTGCAACTCTTTGCGTAGATATTAATGGTGGCTGAGAATTTGAAACATTTAGACGGACTGGAGTAGTTAAAACGGTAGTGGAAGAAACGGCACTCTAAAATAAATATATTTAAAAATTAATAATCTAGACTGTTTTTTAATTTTTTGGCAGCAAAACTTTTAAGTAAATTTTAAATAATAAAATAAAAAAAATTATTTTTAATGAAAAAACTACGGGCTAGAACACAAAATTTAAATGAATTGACCAAAAACTCATTTCTCTGATAATTTACTAATATGTACCTTTAATTTTTAAAAAATTTATTTAAGAAATATTTTTGTTGTAAAAAGAAATAAGATAATAAAAAGTATGATATTAGTATATATAAAATTGGCATATTATCATAATAAAAGATTTGCATTAAATGCCAAGATCATACATACTGCAGAGTAATAACACGGTAATAACTGGTTTAGTAATAATATGGCTTAAAAAACTATCACAAACACTGTAAAATACTAATTACTAAATCAGAGAAAGTAAAGCAGATGGGAAAACATTAACCTGCACAATTGTAGAACCCTGTTTTTGTCCAATAAATCCTGAATTTGTTATAGATGGTGGCCTTAAAGGCAACACCTGAGTGACTGACGGAACTTTTATAGATTTGTCTGTAGATATATGAAGCTGGAAGTAAACCAGTACAAGGCTAAATTTAATAGAAAAGTTTAATTTTTCCAGAAAATGATAGATACAAAAGAATTGATTACTAATTCAAAAATTTCTTTTGACAAGTTTTTAACCTAAGTAATTTAATAAAAAAATCTTGAAATGATGTTTTTTTTAATTTTTTTATACAAATAAGTAAATATACCTGGGTGGCTTGTGTCAGAGTCACTGGCTTTTGTGCAGGTGCGTGCAATAATAAAGGTCTAGGAGCTTCTGTTGTTCTATGAATTTGTTGTTGATTTAGAGGCTTTGATGTTGATACTAATGTTCTTGAAGGAATAGAACAAGCACGAGAAATAGAAGTAATTGGAGAAATACAACGTGGAACAGTAATAACATTATTTGCTGGATTCGATGACCAATTAGACGATTGTTGCATTGGACTTGGAACCCTTGGAGCTGTTGTACTGGGACTAGATGTTCTAACACTGGGCACAAAACTTGTGCCAGTAGTAGGAGCTGAAGACATCCCAACAGGCTGAAGAGTAACAAATGATCTACCTTGATTTTGTCTACTTGTTATATTAGAAACTTGCACGGAACCTGAAAAATAATTCAAAAAAAAAAAAAAAAAATTTAACGTTTTTTAAATTTAAATAAATAAAGTAGTTTAAACAAAAAATGAAAATAATTTACCTCTTGGTACATGGTATGATGTTGTAACATGAGATACAGAAGACACAGCTGTAGCAGGAAGAGGTGGTCTAGTTAAAGACCCCATTACTGAAATATTACTTTCTGCAGATGTAGCAGCTACCCTTGTTACAACTAAAAAAAATAATATATATAAAAAATTGATTTCCTGCAATTCATATAAAATCTTTTTTCCATTCAATAATTTTAAAAGATTTAAAAATTACAAACCTGCTTTTGGAGGTGCAATGCTAGACAAAACAGGAGTAGATGTAAGAGTAGTATTTAAAGCCAATGTTGGCCTAATATTGCCATGTGCAGAAACACTTCTAATTTGGCTGGTGTTTTGCAATAACCTTGCAGAATCAGTTTGAGCCTTTAATGAAACAGCTTTGGTTCCAAAGTCAACAGGAGTTTTTTCAGAGACCTCTGTACCAGGCATGGAAGCAGATTCAATTGAACTCATATTTCACAATTCATTTATCTAAAAAAAAAAAAAATAAATAAAATTATAATCTAAAAAAAAATAAAACAACTTAAGACAATTTTTAAAAAACTTTTAAAAAATACATCAAATTATTTTTTGAGAATCAGTCCTGTGCCTAATAACATTAGCAAATAATGATGAGATCAATATGATTGTCAATTGCATTTACTTTTCGACTATTATTGTATCTATAACTATTATTAATTGATTTATTAAAAAAAAAAAAAAGACAAAAACTACAAATAAAATTAATAATCACGCGAATCAAATAAATTCTCAGAAGTACGTGTTACCATATTCATTGAAGATGAATTGGAGGGGAGAATAATAAATTATAGTTGTTTGAAAGTTTTAAAATTTATAAATTTAAATTAGCTAAAAAGCACAGTACTATATAGTCTGAACAAACAAATTAAGCACTAAAAAACTGATTTAAAGTCGTTTGCATCAAAGCGTTCTTAAATTGTACGTCTCTTGGCACATACAGCTGAGAAGGGTAGTCACTATAATCATTATTCTATCAAAAATCAAACACTTTTCTTTAATTCAATTACATTAAAAATTGTATTTCTTTATAAGACAATATTATTTTAAGTAACCACGATTAATTATTAACTGTACCTGAGATATATATATTTTGATGCCATTACATCTTAACCGAAAATTCCTTCAACACATTAAATGCGTTCAGAAACTACGAAATAGAAAGCGTTCAATTTTTTTGTCGGCATTCTATAAAGAATATCTGCATCGAAGCAAAAACTTGCAACAATACGATTTTACGTCAACTTCGCATTCATTTTGTTTTATGCAGCTGTGACGTCACACACAGCCATTTGTATTTTAAGTCAACTTTAATTTTAAACAACAATTAATTTTAAATAATTTTACATTTACCATGTATTTTTCTTGCAATTATCTAAAAAATAAAAGTTAATTAATCAAAGCAGAAAAAATTAAAAATTAAAAATGAAAATGCGCTTAGACTTTTTTTATTTATTTTACTTTTTTTTTTTATATACTATTTTTTCTGTACACAAGATAAATCTGATTCATACATTATTTGATTTACAAAATATTATGACAATAAAATATTATTTAAAATTAGACAAAAAAAATATATATATATATATGTAAAATTTTCAATGAAATAAATAGTTTAATTTTTTTTCTTATAATTTAAAAAAAAAAAAAAAACACTTGTAATTAATTTACAAACGAAAATTTCCGATTTAATTTTATATATAAATTTTAAATTATAATTATAATTATTGAACTCAATATTTAAAGCAATAAAAAAAAAATGTTGATATTATAGACCTGAATATAAAATATATACTTGTTGTTTAAGAGGAAGCATTTTTAAAAAATATGTTGACAATTAAAAATTTTTATTCTGATCTCAATGTTTTCTGGTGTAACCCTTAATAATTAAATAATAATCTTGCATATATCGATAATTTAACGGTATTTATGCATTTGAACATCAAATGCACTATAACTAGTAATAATAATAATAATAAGTTTTTTTATTATTTTTTTCGACTGATAATCTTAATTATAAAAAATAATTACATCTATTAATTACATACAAATATAACAAAATATTCACATTTGACTTATATATCGTATAATTAAAAAGGTAAAAACAATTGGGATTTGATTATAATAAATTTTGTTCAAATCACTTTTGTTATCGTTTTTTTTCCCCCTTCATAATAATAATAATTATAATAAAAAAAAAAGAGTAAAAATAGAATTATAGAACAATAACGGGGGGAGGGGGGGACTTTTTACCTTAATAAGTATTGAATTTCATTTAAACCATTGCAATTTTGTTAATAAAAAATAAATAATATTATAAATAATACATAAAAATCGTATAAATTTTTATACGATATCATTCATCAATATCATTATCAATCACATTATTTTAATCAAAAAAAAATCTGATTTTATTATTATTATTATTATTATTATTATTATTATATTGTCTTATATTCTTCGATTAAAATTCACATTTTATTTAAATATCTTAGTAATTGTCAATTTTTTTTTTTTTTTTACCAAATTTATTATATTTTTTAAATTTGATATGAATTATTATAACGAATTTTCCGATATTTTCCGATACAAAAAATTTTTTTTTTTTAATGGAGATAACTTTATTTTTTTATTTTTAACACTAATTCAAGGTTTTTAAACTAATTTTTTTTTTTTTTTAATATTTATATATGTATATATGAATTAAACGTATTTTTTTTACAACACATATTGATTAATTTATTAATTTTTACAACAAAAAAAAAAAAAAAAATTGGCAATCTTTTTTTTCTTATTAAATTAAAATCGTCATGACTATTAAATAAATTTCGTTTAATTTTTTTTTAGTCTTTTCATTTTGTGATTTAATTTAATTTAATATAATTAATTTAAAGACTACCCAATCAATTACCCAATTGTTGTTGTTGCTTGAATCAAATAATACCCTCGTTAATAATATAAATAAATAAAAAAAAATGAATTTTTTTAGCCTCATATTAAAATAATAACGATTTGAAAATAATAATAAAAAATTATTAAAAAATAAATTTTAAGTATTTAAATTCAATTTTTTTTTTTTTACAATCAATCAATCACTTTTTTAGCACCTAATTTTCTTCTATTCGTTATTATTTATTTTTATTAATTATTAACACATGAGTATAAATTTATTAAAAGCAAAAAGAAACTGCAAAAAATTATTTTTATAATAAAAATATTTTCCTTTTTTTTTTTGTTTTTTTGTTAAATTTATTTTTAATTAATTTGTTAAATGAAAAACCCAACAATTGCAAAAGACAGAGAAAAAAAAATAAATATACAAATATAAAATATTTAAAAAAAAAAAAATTCCAGTTAAAAAAAAAAATTAAAAACTAAACTGTGTAAGTATAATTAATTTTCTTTTTAAATCCATTTTTTTTTTTTATTTCAACTTACCTATATATATTTAAATTAAATTAAATTAAATTAAATTAAATAATAATAATAATTAAAATTAATTGCAATGGTCAGTGATTAACTATTATTTACCACCACTATATTATCAAGCTTGC